TAAAATGGCGCTAAGTTTAGGAGTGGGAGGTCGTTGCGTCATAGCGTGCTACCTTCGATCAACAATAACAACTATTGTTGATCGAAGCGTGCTACAAAATGTGGCGCGTAGTGACGTCACACGATATTTCAAATTAATATATCGTTGAAAGTATTTAATTTTGTAAGAAAATAAAAATACGTGTCTAAAGTTTTCCTAAATTAATGTACCAGACGGACATTAAAATAAAATTTAGGAAACTACCCTATTGTCATTAGATTACACAGAGCATTATTTATTATTGTCATTTTAAGCACGCAGAAGAATAAAAAGAAAGTCAACTTGATGCCCTTCAATTTAGTGCCAGAAATGGCAGAAGAGCTAAAGAACGGAACAGGAAAAATAGAAATAGGTGTGCGAAAACATTTTCCTGTAGCTGACCGTCACATTATTAGTAGTGTATCTCAGCAGTAGCGAATTGAACTTCCACAGTGCTGACACTGGCTACCAAAAAAGCAGACAGTGCAGTTTTTGCTTGAAAACCGTGAACTTCTAAAGGAGGAAGTCATAATTATTTGCAAGGTACGATAGTAACAGTTAGACAGAAATTAAGCGAGTATGTTTATTTATGTCGTAAGAGGTAATAAAAGATAAATATAGACCATGCATTAAGTACCTATGTGCTCATCTTACATAACATAACATCATATCTTTTATCCATGTAGGGGTAGGCAGAGGAGTACATTACGGCACTTAATGACACTGTACAATGTAACACCCACATTTCACTATGTTATCAGACCCATGTAAAAGGGGGTGAGCCTATTGATGGCAATAGGTATATGGATACCTATTGCCATAAACCAGCAAGCACAGAGCAGTTAGCAAAAACACTTTTTGAAAATCACATTCAAGCTTAACATGCTTAAATACGTTTGTAATTTCATCCCCGTTTCAAGAACTTGATCCCACGTCAAATCCCAACAAAATCAGTTGGACATTACCGAAAATGTAAAGTGGAAACAAAAGGAATAAATCAAAATTTGATTGGAATCGTCCCGGAACGTAACAATCGTATCACGTCCGCGGCGCGCTTTGAATAAACAATTTTAGGACAACTTCGTCGATTCGACCACTATTCCGAGTTTCGAAGTCACTGGAGAGTCGATGCTTTGTCTTTTATCATTTGTTTAGGGAATCATGTTTTTGTTTTAAGTAGTTACATAACATAACATAACATAACATCACGCCTTTTATCCCCGAAGAGGTAAGCAGAGGTGCACATTATGCCACTGTACAATGTATCACCCACTTTTCACTCTTTATGTTATGAGTCCCATGTATAGGGGGTGAGCCTATTGCCATATACCGGGCACAATTCCAGACTCCGTGCTACTACTGAGTTTTAAGTAGTTACTCTGTTTTTGTAGGTTTATGAAACCTCATCCATGAACAGCCTGTACTAGTTCACTGTTGGACCATAAGCCTTCTTTACATAACTGAGCTATAATTATATCACTTAGCAGGCTAACTAAAACGCGGGTTACTCACGTGATTATACTGAGAAAAGCTTTAGTACTTTTGAACTACAGAGGGGTTCTTCCTCATGAGCAGCGTCGCGGCGATGTCGCGCAGCTTACTGGCTAGCGTTGGCGCTCGCCTCGGTGTTGCTACTTGCGCATCTTGCTCAACGCGCCCTCTGCCGGACACCACGAGCGTTTGCTTCCAACTCCAGCGGCGGCGTGCCGGACGATATTGAAGCGCACGGTACGTTCACCAGCGGCGCGGGTCGTGGGTTCGATTCCGGGTTCGGTACAAAGTCAGTGCTACATATAACGCTTACTGTTTCACACTCCAGACTAGAGACGCTGCGGATCGATGTAGACTCCAAGCTCCACGAGGATGGCAGTACCCAGCCACCATCTCTGTTGAAGCACGGACGTCGGATAATCTCAGTGGCCTCTCGCACTTTTCGCGGAACGAAGTATTTTTCCCTCGCTAGTACGGAGACCTTATCATACCGTATGAAGTGAGCCGTGTCCGTACCGCAAACAAACCGACACTGCTGTCGCCTGGATATATCCATCTTCTTCACGCTGCATATGTTCCTTTAGGTTGTGATGTTGCGATGAATTTCCCCGATGTAACTCGAGCCACAGTCGTACTGTATTATTTACACTCCGGGCACAGCCAGCGGATCCTTATCTTTAGGTGAGCGTAGTAGTTATCTTAGCTGACCGGGTGGGCGGAAGATCGTCTTGATGCAGTATTTACGGCGCAGCAGGTGTCCGATTCTGTCGGTCACTCCTTTCACGTATGGTAAGAACGCTGGAGTCCGTTCCGCAACTGCCGGTCGCTTCCTACTCGAGCTGTTCACTAGTCAAATACATTGACGCCAGTTGTATCCATTGTTTTGCAGTACCCGTTTTAAATGTCATATCATGCATGAGAAGCAGTCGCGGAGAACCTAACGGGTAACCGGGGCTCCGGCTCGACGTGCAGGAGAAGGAACGGGGTGGTTTTTAGTCAGTAAGAGTCTGACACTCCCTCCCGCCTCACCCAGGCGCGAGCAGCCATTCGATGATTTTCCCCCTTTAAAAAAAATGCATGAGATGCAGGTGTCTTCGGGCCACCACGACATACTCATCCTAGGCATTTTCATTTAAATTGACACAAAGACCTATTCCCTTCGACTTCATATCCCCTAGTAATGGTTTGTCTATTCTCAATTTACATTTAACATGTCGAGCTATACAGACCGTAGTGTAGTAACGACCGTCACTGTTTGCCCGCTAAAGATTTGGACTTCGAACCCCAGTCAAGTTATTTGCATCGGTTTCCGATACGCCGTTTTCGTGGCTTATAAACCATTTGGATTTGCGTTCGGGTTTTAGTGTGCTCTTAGATTCGTTTTGTGATTTTAACACAAGTCATTTTTCCTTAAGTTAAAATTACGAAGTAATCCGGAAGTAGGTACACTTCACGCCATGATATTTATTCCTCACTAGCTTCTGCCCGCGACTTCGTACGCAATCCCGTTTTCTCCCGTTCCCTTAGGATTTTCAGGATTTTTTTCTGTCGTAAAAACCTTCTCCTAATAATAAAAAATATAACAAAAAAAAAATCAACCCAATCGGTCTAGCCGTTTTCAAGTTATGGCGTGACAACGGGAAACGGGTTTCAATTTTTATAAATATAGATTAATCGTCACTGCGATTTTAGGATCGAACCCAAAAACCACACATTCTGCAAACACACTTGCGTCCATACGTTCAATGAATCAATGATTACTAAGAAGAACGCACTTTAATGAAAAAAAAATTATAAAAGCTGACTGGGATTAAATTTATAAGCTGTTGCCCACGGCTTCGACCGCGTAGGAAATAATTTTAGAACACAACTATTTTGTTTCAATTTTCAAAAATAAAAGTAATCTATATTACTCTTTAATACATCAGCTACCTGCCAATAAGTCTTACAAAATCGGTCCAGGCATTCCAGAGATTAGCAAGTACCAGATAGACAAACAAAAATTGTAAAAAAATGTTATTTTGGTATGTGTAGGTATCGTATGAAAATTCATTTGCTTAATTAAGTAAAAACAGCTCACGTGAGCTGCGCGACGTCGCCGCGACCGCGCACGCTGCTCATGAGGAAGAACCCCTCTGTGGTTCGAAACTAGTAGAGCTTTTCTCAGTATATTCACGTGAGTAACCCGCGTTTTTACTTAATTTAGTATGTCTCACGATAGTTATTATAAAAACATTCATTTGCTTGTAGTAAAAGGCGGTTATTTTAATATTACAAATAGACACTCCAATTTTATTTATCTGTTAAGATATATACTAGCTGTGCTATAGATAATACTAGCTGGGCCCACGACTTCGTTCGCGTGTATCTAATAGTGATTCACAGCTCCTCCCCCGTAGGTGATAATATGTAGCCTATAAATTTTGACCCGACCTGTTAGTAATATTCATGCAAAATTTGAAGTAAATCCATTTAGCACTAGATGGATTTACTTCAAATTTTTTTGTGTTTAGCCCGGACATACAGACAAACAGACAAATATTCTAAAAACCATATTTTTGCTTCGGTATCGCGTGTACATCACACCCCAAGCATTCTTTTAAAAAAAAAATCAATGTACAGGTTTCACTTTCCTACGATTTTATTATAGGTATGTAGGTATAGATGCCCCTTCAAAATCAAACAAATTGCAACAACACCCTAGAGAAAACTTGCATTAAAACATCAAGCAGGCAAACTTTCCGATCCTCGAACAAAACACGAACCGAACGTCTGAAGCAAAACTAAACTCGAGAAAAACCAGCCAGTCATTCCGCGTTTAAAATATTAGATATCGAAGCAAAATTACGTACTTCTTCACAACACTCCACCAACTTATTACCAACTAACTTATAATTCAATATATTGTGTTTAAACTTACGTCAATGTCCATAGTAGAAAGTTACAAGTTCAATATTGAAGTTATGACACCCAAGAACTTTAGTTCGTAGAGAGAAATGTTTCACAATTCATGTCGCATCTTCGTGAATATTTTGTCAGACGATGTATGGGCGGCTTTGTGACGTTTCGACATGTCAGCGTTGACGTTTATAGATATCGTTGACAGATTGGGTAGGGTTGCCCCGAAATGATTGGTTGTGCTCATGAATAGGGAGTGGAAAAGTTGAGTTGTTGTAGCATTTATTTTGGGAATAGAGTTGATAAAATATTTACGTCACTGTGTTCGAATACTAGACTTAGTTCAGTTTCGCGGAGAACCTAACGGGTTACAGGGTTACCGAGTTTCCGGTTTGACGAGCGGGAGGAGGAACGGGGTGGTTTTTAGTCAGTAAGACTCTGACGCTCTCTCCTACCTCACTCAGGCGGGAGCAGTAATTCGATGATTATCCCCCCTTAAAAAAAAGACTCAGTTCAGTTCAGACACCTTTTATATTGTTTGTAGAGACAAATAGAAGTTTTGGTATCCGTAAATCAAACTCAAAATAACAATTACGGCAACAACTTTATTTTACTGTAGGTATTCGATTTATTAACATTTTAACAAGTATACAATCATAGCAATATACAACAAATATTTCACGATAAGGCACAAATAAAATCTACAAAAAACCTTACTACAAACATTTATTAGTGTGCACCCGAAGTAGCCCGAAGATTGTCGAACATGTTCGAAGAGTTAGCACACTACAAAAGTCCCTCACTATTTGATTTAAACATGGAACAAAGTTGCATCAACTGTTTATTAGATTTGCCTTGGGACTTCATGTTGCGGACGTCAGTACGTCTGTTTATATGAACTCTCACTCCTTCAAGACCTGACCACGCTTTGGCGACGGCGACCAGTGTACTCCAGGGTAACGGCCATTCTCCTCGAAGGAACTGAGAGAAATGGAAATAAATTAATCTGTTTTATAATAACTATCGTGAGACATACTAAATCAACTTAAATCGCGGGTTGCTCAAGTGAATATACTGAGAAAAGCTCTAGTAGTTTCGAACCAACGAGGGGTGCAGCGTGCGCGGTCGCGGCGACGTCGCGCAGCTCACTTACTACTTACAAGAAACTAGTAGAGGTTTTTTCAGTATATTCACGTGAGAAACCAGCGATTTAAGTTAATAAATTAATTTTTAAATCGTATTTAGAAGTCACCCCTTTAAAGAAGTGTTATTATTCTATTGCTCACGTGAACTATAGTCAGCGTCGAAGCATTTATTTCAATTAATCCGCAATTAGGCACTTTTGCAACGTCGAAAATTGTGTAAGAGTAATTTCGAATGGAGAAGAACGAGCAAGAAACTCCATGATACAGAAAGATAGATAAACCGAAGTTTGATTTCTTTACATAACATAACATCACGCTTTTTATCCCCGAAGGGGTAGGCAGAGGTGCACAATATGTCACTGTACAATTTAACACCCACTTTTCACTATTTATGTTATGCGTCCCATGTAATAGGGGATGTGCCTTTTGCCATATACCGGGCACAATTCCAGACTCCGTGCTACTACTGAGAATTGAAAACCCAGTAATACTTTGCCCGACCCGGGAATCGAACCCGAGATCCCTTGCTCGGCAATCGCACTTGCGACCACTCGGCCAACGAGGCAGGTTTGATTTCTTTAATTCTCAATTATAATGGGATGCCACAGGTTATCTATAATTATAATTAAAAAAATAACTGATAGAATTGTTTGCTATAAAAATATACAGAGTGCAAACGAAACGCTCCCGAAACGCGGACAAAAAGAAATTGTATTTACAATAATTTGAATCGTATTTCTTTTCGTGGCATTCATGCAACATCAGCCTTGAACAGTTGATACACATTTAAACTGTCAAACACCAAGCGGTCACCGGTGACCGCAACCTATTGTTCTATAATTGTGTCTATAATGACGGTACTCGACGAGTTAATTCCTTACTCTTATGAAAATAACACTTGTAGCATGGCGCGACTGATTCTAAGATTCCACTAATTCTAAGTTGTAACACTATACAGTACCTATATGGATTTTTTTTAAGGGTGGCAAATCATCGAATGACTGCTCCCGCCTGGGTGAGGCGGGAGGGAGTGTCAGACTCTTACTGACTAAGAACCACCCCGTTCCTTCTCCTGCACGTCGAGCCAGAGCCCCGGTTACCCGTTAGGTTCTCATTAAGTTATTCATTAAGATAAGTCATTAAGTTTAAACCCTAATAAACAATTTATAACTGTTATACACTTATTTTTTTTTATCACCTGTCGGCGTTTCTCGGGAACGTTCCGTTTGCACCCTGTATTTTGATTCAAACGCTTACTTGGTCAAAAGGTTGTTTCCCAATATGAAACATGGTATAAAGAAGCGGAGTCTTGTTAGAAGGTATGTCGATATCACACGAATCTCGGATGCCTAGCTCCTTGTAAATCCACTCTGAATGCAGCGCTAGATGTTCGTAGATGACCTAAAAATCAACCAAAAAATTGTATTATTGTAACATTACCTTTGAGTCTAAAAACTGACAATAGGTTGATGTACAAACTGCCTTCTTAATTACAGAGGTTGTAACTTGAACAATGTCGGTCGTGGTGGCCCGGAGGTTTAAGACGCGCTTCTCATGCATGAGGGTGCGGGTTCGAAACCTACCCACGGCAAGTACCAATGTGACTTTTTCCGAGTTATATGTACTTTCTAAGATTATTTAGACACCACTGACAAACGGTGAAGGAAAACATCGTGAGGAAACCTGGGCTTATAATTTCTAATTATAAGTTTGTAATCGCCAACCCGCATTGAGCAAGCGTGGTGATTAATGCTCAAACCTTCTCCGTGTGAGAAGAGGCTTTGCTCAGCAGTGGGCATTTATAGGCTGTTGATGATGATGATGAACTTGAACAATGTCATTAAATTAACTAAAAATAACGGTTTAATCATGTCACGGTAAAATAAAGAAAGAAAAACATTTATTCAGCACCAGGCACGATGCAGCATAAATAAAATATAAAAAAGACAATAAAAGTGTGACAGTGGAAGTAATAAAAACATTGAGTTGAAAAAATAAAACAGAAGAATTAGAAGAGAGACGCTGACAACATGCCTATGCTAAAAGGGTCACCCACACAGTGTAAGTCAGGCATACAAGTGATGATTTTCAGTGGGCACCCATGCAGTGACGCACTATGTAATAACTGTTTAGTACGTAAAATATTGAAAAAACCTCTACTAGTTTCGCGTCACAAACCGCGCACCCTGCTCTTAAGGAAAAGTCCCTCTGTGACTCGAAACTAGTACCTAGAGGTTTTATCACTATATTTACGTGACTAAACAGTTATATTTAGTTAATTCATGCCGGAATACTGAAACGTTACTCAATTTTAAGTCGTGCTTAAATATAGTGCCATCTCTGTCATTTTACAAAGAATTTGTAGAGACAGAACTATACTTAAGCACGACTTAAAATTGAGTAGCGTTTGAGTATTCCGACATCAGTTTGTCTCACGATAGTTTTTACAAAAATAATGTCATAAAATCTAGGTACTTACTCTCAGACTATCTCTTCCAGGAGGTGTCATTAGTATCTGGCTAGTAAGGGCGGCGGCATCACTTGCCCGCTCAGCATTAGACCCGGGTACATCGCCCTACAATACGAATTTTGTTTTAAAACAAATGAGAATATTGATTTGTTTATTCTTCATTCCTGTTATCATTAGGAGGGCAATAGATAATGACAAATCGATAGCACGGTTGGAGCATTGGCTGGACAACCGGCCGCCGCGCAACGATTATTGTTTCGATTCCCGCACGGAGCAACTCTTTGTGTGATCCACAGATTGTTGTTTCGGGTCTGGGTGTCATGTGTATGTGAACTTGTATGTTTGTAAACGCACCCACGATACAGGAGATAATCCTCGATCTAATAAAGTTAATTATCTTAAAGTCTGAATTAGATTAATGAATTGAAGAATATTTTTTGATTTTTTGAAGAATACATTTTGCAGATAGTTTTAAAAAAGTTATGGGCTTAAAATATATCTACCTATAACCAGACTAAAAAGCAATAAGAAAATACCTCTTCAAACAACTCAGCGAACTCAGGAAAGTCTTCAAGCCCAAATTGCTCAGACAATACAACTTTTCTCTTTGCCCGTTCTATTAGTAGTTGTATGTCTCGAGTATGTTTGTCGTCCTCATCTATAGAGCAGAGCGCCTCGGCTACTGCCAGGGCTATAGATGAGGCACTGCTGTGACTACCGTCGAAACTTAGGGATGTTGATGTTGCTGGACGAAAAAAGAACTAATTGACATCTTATGTTGCATTAGAAGTACTGCAGTTTAGGAATGTAAGGCAGAACAGTTTTTGTTTTTTTTTTTATGGCATAAGCCGGAAACGAGCATACGGATCACCTGATGGTGAGCAATCGGCGCCGCCCATGGACACTCGAAACACCAAAGCGTTACAAGTGCGTTACCGGTCTTTAGGGAATTGGGAATTTGAGGATTGTGGAGAATTCGGGGATCCGGGAGACGGGGACTAGGGAGGGGGGTAATTGGGCCTCCGGTAACCTCACCCACACGACGAAACACAACGCAAGCGTTGTTTCACGTCGGTTTTCTGTGAGGCCGTGGTATCACTCCGGTCGAGCCGGCCCATTCGTGCCGAAGCATGGCTCTCCCACACTTAAAAT